CAACAATAAGTTTCAAACAAAAAAGATTTAGATGAATAATACAAAAAACGATTATCAAGAAATTGAGCAAGAAAAGATATTTTTATGAGATTGATTTTTTATTAATTAAATGGATTTTAATAATGTAGTTAATTCCAAAAAATCTTCAGTTGATTCGATGTAATAAAATGTATATCCATGTAATGATGAAATAAATAATATTCTATTAATAATATTCTAATAAATAATAAATAATATTCTAATAAATAACATACATTCTAAATACTTTAAATAATAAATAATAATAAAAGAACAATTATATTCTAATAAATATAAAAGTGACAGATACAATATTAAAAAAAAAAACAAAAAATTCACAAAAAAAATTTGTAAAATAATATCGATAAGAAAATGCAAGCGGTTGTTATAATATTATTGTTGTGATTGTTTATTTGTTCCTTCATTATTTATCGTTTATTTTTAGTCAAGCAGATGCTGAGAACTCATGTCTATCCTCAAATCATTTCTTGACAAATGGCCTCGATTTTATTAGCAAACAAGTAGAGCAATGCAAACCAGAGTTGACGAATATTGACTACTAATTTTAATGATCGAGGAACCAGCCAAACTAGAAATGCTTATTGCTATTAGTATTCTAGAAAAGAAAGAGCCTCTATTTCTTTGCACTTTGATTGTTGGATCATAATTCATCCAGTCAAGTTGGAAGGTGACGAAGATTCTTGTTCGTTTTACGATCGCTCTAGTATGACAAATGAAAAAAATGACATCTGTTAGTAGAAAAATTTCAAATTTCTTTCATATATACGACTTCATATATACGACAATATAATTTGAAAAATCCAGTTTACCATTAACAATAGATTCAAATAATAACTGAGAAGTATGTATAATTTTAACAAATCTTTTTTGCTCAAAACGCAAGGAAAATATAAAATTAGAGTATTAAGTTATCATGTCAATCTATAGACCATTATATATCGGTTCTGCCATTATCACACCTCTACATCTTTAAATTTTTTGTTCTTTAATTCTTCTAAGGAGATATTCTTCTTTTTCTTCATAAAAGACCTCTTGAATTTTAAATTTACATGAAAGATCTGACTTGAAATTTATCCAAAACTAGCAGACATTTAATATGCAGTGGATCTTAATTATAAAAGCATGGAGTAGCAAAAATAAGATAGACAAATATTAACTAAATATTAATTTATTAATTATATTAATTAATAATTGTATATTAATATTAAGTACCTTCTAGATGCTCCAGATGCGAAATGGGATTAGCCAGTTTTTAATTTTAATAAATAATAACCTCGTCATTAAAACACCAAAATTTGTTCGAAATCTTTTTGATCGTCTCGAGATGGCGCATAAGCTATGTCGTTCGATAATTTATTCCAGAAATTAATATTACGAATAAAGAAGAAAGTTATGGCTTTAGTTTTACACAGTTTTAGTAATTTTAGCCCATTAGTTCTTGTTTGATTTAAATTTAACCTAAAATTATAATATTTTGAACAATCTAGTTTAACATAAGCATACAAAATCTTATAAGTATAAATTAAATCTTGTTTGTCGAATTGACATAGAATCCAGGTTATACTGTAGAAATTTTCTTTTATAATTAGAATTGCAACTAGGAGAGAGGCGCCGTATAGAATACTTTTGGAGCCCTTCAATTATTTTACTTGATTTACGATATCTCGGGGAGTAACATGTAGCACTGTAGTCAAGAATTGGCCGAACGAACGTTTTATACACTTTGATAAGGAAATCTTCAGTTTTGTTTTTAAAAAAAATATAATATAATATATAACTAATATAACATAAATAATATAATTAATATGATATCATTATTTGATATTATAATGATCTATAATAATATTAATATTAATCTAATATAATGTAATATAATGTACTAATTAATTTTATCTAAGCAAAAGAGTCTGTACAGAGAATCATTTAATACTGATTTCAACAGATATCAAACTCAATTAACATCATTTAAAAGCTATTCATAATCTATGGTGTATTTTTTTGTGAAACATGGATTATATAGAAATTATCGAATAGAAATTATCCCTGTATTTAATTTTCTTTTAAAAAAAGTTGTGCATTAGTGCATTTTAAAGATACTGGATATTTTTATTTAAAATTATTTAAAAATTATAATTATTTATATATAAACATTTTATTCTGAGGCATGAAGAAGAATAGAAGATAGGCATGAAGAGATAGGCTATGAAGCATATTTAAAAAAATTTACTGGGGCAGGCTAACCGAATGGAGCGACTCAGATCATCATCTTGAGTGGGAAGAATCCTACTGTCAGCAGGAATAAGCCTATCATTAAAAAATCCGAAAGGTGATGGCAACTCGTCATTTCTGTGCAAGTGGTCTCCTGGTAAAAATTTCCAGTCTCATTAAGAAACAGCGAAGTTAACCTAGCCAGAAATACCGCAAGCTTGTTTTTACTTGTTAAGATGGGCTAAAAAGGTTGTTTTCTAAAAATATGTAAAGCAAGTTGCTATGATATATTTACGGTAAATTCCTGTAAAAAGTCTATTTTACGTAAGATTAACAATTCTTCATTTGAACTCTTTAACTATTATGGCATATGAATGTTTTTGCGAAATTTATGAACTGTGAACTTTAAAATACGCAAATTTTTTTTATCTAAGGAAGCTACGCCTATGAATTCCCCTACGAACTATTAAATATTTATAGAAAAATATGGTATTTATCTCAATTTAAGAAACACAAATCATAAATTAGATGAAAAGAATTATTTACGCATGTTTTTAGAAAACACTAAGGCAATATTTTATTATTTGGACTGCTTAAGATGTTGACTAGTAATAAGTGCCATAAATAATTCACCAGTTTTTTCATTACTATTTTCACTTCTCTTTTCCTATAAAGTCAATCTAAAAAATCTAAATGTTATTTATTTTTTTATTTATTTTATTCTTCTTCTAATAGGTCTCATCTTTACTAATTAGGTTGGCTCCGCTGGCTACAAGGGTAAAATTTCAAGTAGCTCGGTCCAACGTCATCGCTAGTAGTAATAGAAGCCATTCCTTTTTCCATCGTCTAAGTTCATATATCGCTGGTTCTCCTATACGTTCAAAATCTTTCGTGGATGTATTAGTCCAGGTCTTGATTGGCCCTTCTCGCTTTTGACGCCAACCATCACAGGGTTCGGCAGATAGCTAAATATGTATCAATTCCTGCAGTGGACGACAGAGAACATGCTAACCAACCAACCAACGAAGACGATGCTTTTTGATGGCACTGTTAATGTAAGTGATATTTGAACAAAGATGGATGCGATCACATTTATCCGCTCAGATAACCCGTAAAATGTGCCTTAGACACGGATAATCAAAGGCTAATAGCTTCTTAATATCTTTCTTAATAATAACATAGTCATTTATCATTATTACTATTATCATTATTATAATTGTTTTGTTGTTATTATTATTATTTAATATTATTTTTGGCTTAATAGCATTCACCATTTCCAGTTAGGCTGACTCCTTTGTATAGTAAGATGGGACTGCTTCATCAGGCGGCCACCTATGAATGCGAGTGAAGACGGCTTACCAAAATCTCCTGGATGGGCTTTTGATGGCAGGATTTACCATCAGAGACCGATGCTTTAAGCGATAATTAGGTTTTTTGCAGCATTTTGCAAATTACAGTATTTTAAGGAAAACTTGATTTGAATTTGTGGGTTATTTGGGATTTAAAAGAAATATTTTTTGTTTGTTTATGCAAAATCGACAATATATTTCTTTGAAAAATACGAAAAAATTAATTACATTGTTTGCCTAGTTTCAGTTTAAATCTAACAAATGAAATCGGATAAAATTTTAAGGAATGCATTTTGGGAAAATACTTTGGTCTAAATATATTGTACCACTCTGTCTCTCCGTATTATTTGCTAATTGTGGCTTTAAAATGTATATAGTTAACAGGATACAAGCGGAGTGGGTTGCTGCTTAGACGAGTTGTCTTCAAACTGGCCTTTATGGGTCTTTTGAGTCATGGCGATTTTTAAGCAGTGCCTAATTCAAATATATTCCTACATTGTTTGAGTTGTAATAAATATCATTTTAAATGCTTATTCAAGCGGTTTATTCATTCATTATATTCATTGAATGGTCGATAGAAAATATAACAAAATACAAATATTTTCCAATTTTAAAACTTCCCATGAATCCCATGAATTTTCATGACACCATCTATTCATGGAACCCGTGGAAAAAAGTTAGATGAACTAGTTTTAATTATCCAGTACAAGTATGATGGTTCGGGTCATAAATCATATACTGTTTTCCCTTTATTTTATAACATAAATCATTTTTAAAAAATTTTACTTTTCCATTAAATAAATGATTTTTGAAAATAATTTCACTATAAATTTTCTAAAACAAATTTTCAATTTTTTTCCTTTTTTTTGAATTTGAATCTTATTATTCAATATTATAAAACTTTCGTTTTGTTATATTTTATGCTTATATTTTTAATATTGGTCAGTCGATAGGAATGATTTTATGGCCGATCACAACAAGATAACTAGGTGAATAAAAATGATTAACATCAATCGTAAATTTGATCGGAACTCTTTGAACTTGCCCTTTATTCATTGTGTGATATATGTCAATATAATTACCTTCAAAACCCAATAAGGACTTTACACAAATACTTAATGATCAATTATAATCACAAAAGTATTTTCGGATCCAGAATTTAATACGGATTTCATCAATAAATGAAAATAGCAAAATATGATGTGGCCCCTACTCAGATTATCTTGAGTGCCAGGGCTTCATACTCTGTCTCCAAAGGATCAACGCTAAAAAATTATTGTGTGATGCTATTGGCCCAACTCCTGTCATCAGTGGCAAAGATTTCTAATATAAATGAGCTTATGAAATATAATGTGCATCATTGAAACTACTTACGATTATAAGCAATTTATTTTTTACATCGTCATGTTTAAAGCTTTTTCTATTATTTCAACTAGTTATTTTATTATTTCTGAATATCAGCGGTGGTCGACAAACGACTCAATTTCTTCCATTGAAAAATTTTTCTTTTTTTATCAGAAAAATATCAAGAAAATTTGTTAAAATTCTTTAAAGTTAGATGAATTATGAAAGATTTTCGTTTTTTTTCCGTTCAGTTAAGCATTCTTTCTTAAATTTTTTTATGTTTCAAATGTAAATTTAAATTGTAAATCAAAAGTATTTTTAGCGAATATATCGATTCATTTTTAACGTTTTGCTCTTTTCCCAGTTTTAAACACAATTTTTTTCTTTTGTCTGGCAATGCTTGACGTGAAAACAGGAATTCAACAGGCAATGGAGGTGAGTGTTCACGAAAAATAACAGAGAAATTGTTCTTGTGTAGTTGTCGATATCTAATATCTATATGATCATTATGCATGCTACGAATAGGATCCAAGAGAATATAAAGTGATATTAAGAGGTTGGTTAAATGTCCTTTCCACTTACAACTGTAATAACTTTAGAAGAGTACCTTGCAATAGCTTGTTATTTGACAAACTTATCTCCTTGTTTGAAAAAGCTGAATTCGGCAAATTATAATCTGTTTCTCGGAAATAATGTAAAATGGTAGGTTTAGTCTCACAAAAAAACAATTTTAAGAACAAAATTTTACAGTTTTATAAAGCTTTGAATTTTTTTACACTTGTGTTTGCGATATAAAAATAATTCAACAAAAACCTGCAGAAAAAATTTACAGCCTTACATTACTTCTAAAGGCTTCGTAGACCTAATTAATTAAAAGTGATCCATCCATATCAGATAATTCATAAATACAAAAGTCCCCATATATAACCACGATGATAGAGAAATGAGGGAAAGTAGTGGAAAAATTTATTTTGGCGATTGTAATCTTTATTATTTCGCTACTTAAAATATTTCGAGCACAACATTCAGGGCCTTGAACATGAAGGAGCTATCGTCGGCTGGTCAAGAAGGAAATATTTCCGGGAATCCGAAGAATGGCGAAAAAAGAAAACTCGACTTCTCATGAAATTGAGAGCAATAGGACGACTAAATCTAGCATTTATTATGGCACGAGCACCGGTAATTCCATTATTTCTATTTCTTATTGTGAATTGTAAAATACTTCGTAAAATACTTTTATACATAAGGAATGAATGCAAATAGTAAAATTGGAATTAGGCGATGGGGCATCATTGTAGTATATGCTTTTTCCAAAAAACTCAGTTAATAGAAATAATCAACAAGTTGTTGGATCGATCATAGATCTTATATTTCTGTGGTTATCCAAAGTAAAATTATAAAAAATGTTTTGAATTGTTTTAAAGTTTTTTTCTTTACATTGTTTAAATTCAGCCAAATATATATGGTTTGCCATACCTACTTTTATTGTTCTACCTGAATACTAAACCTTGAGTTATCAACTCAATTTTATTTCTACTGTGGATCTGAGAACAAGGATGCCTGCAAAATCTTTTGTTGGTACTTATTATACTTCATAAACCCTTTGTAATTATTAATTCTTTTTTACATTAAAAACTCATTATTCATGCATAATGCTAAAATTCAACCATGAAGCGCCACCTGTTGCCTCTGATATAGCTGTTACGTTCAGTGAACCATATGCTTGCAATTGTTAGTCCCCGATAGATGTCTGTTATTCATGAGCTTAAGGCCAATAAGACTCAGGAAGAAAAGTCTTCGGACTGAACTCTTTAAATTATTGTTATTATTGCTATTATCGAGGAATTATTGCTATTCTCGTGAGCCGTTGTGTTGGTTATTTTCCCTATAATATTCATTATTATGTTATATCGTGTTGTGCTTCGCTAAAAATTTAGAAGAAATACATTATTCTTACTGCATTCGCCTAAAAGATATTCTTTTCAAAAATATATTGTTCTTATTGTTTTATAAGATAAGAATGTAAGTGCGCTTGTAAGATAAGAGAAAATTCCAAATGGCACCGAAAAAATTAACAATTAATGGGGTCGTTTCTAGTAATGATGTCAGCTGTTTAAATAAAACTATAAAGGATATGAGGATTACAACTATCCTCCATTATTAAGAAAAAGCAACAAGGTTTTGCATTTAGCCAGATCTGTCGAACCGCTTAAAAAAGCCAACGAAGAATTTAAGAATTATTAATATTATTGATTATTGATATTGATATTATTGAATTATTGATATTAATAATTTGAAAGCCTCGTCTTTGGATTCCAATCTTGAGATTCCAAAAATCTCAACTGAACAAATATTGCAAACTATTGATGAATACTTCGAAAAAAAGGGGAAAGAACCATGTCTTGTTGGCATAAATGGAGAAATCCCGAAGAAATCTACTGATGATGAGACTGCTACTGCCGATAGGCTTTTTAGCAGAGAATATTGTAGGTGCCGCTTGGATCAAGACTGATTACATCAAGGAAGTTTGTCAACACGGAAGGAAAGAGTCAAGCAGGCCACGAGTACTTAAGATTCGACTTGAAGATAAGTACATGGATATGTCTGTTTTGCGTAATATGAATGTAGGCTCGATTGTGCACTATGGAAGCTTTTTGCGGAAGGATTTAAAAGAGAACTGTTGTTAGACAAACAGTTGCGAAAAGAATGTTAGATGCGAAATCAGAGTCTTATTCTGAAATATTGTCAGAAATCTTCAAATAGTGGAACTCAGGCAGCCTCGCCAATGGTTTTTAACGACGAATTTTTCGATTCCAACTTTTTCTCATCAATCTACAACAGCTTAGGACAATTTGCCAATAGAATCTCGATCTTGGAGTAATTTCCGATCTTGGAATAATCATGGATGAAAATCTCGATTTCGACCTTCACTGCAGAACCATGACAAAGAAATTTTCAAATTCTCAAAGACACTAAACTTTATTTTTCGTTCGTTTAAGAACAAAACTGAAGATTATTTTTTTTTTATCAAAATGTACAAAGCATTCGTTCGGCCACTTCTTGACTATAATACTACATGTTCGCCTCTCTCCTCTCTCCTAATTACAATTTAATTATAAAAAAAAACTTCTACAATATAACCTGGGTTCTCTGTCAATTCAAAGTAAACAAGATTTAATTTATACTTCTAAGATTTTGTATGCTTATTTTAAACTAGATTGTTCAAAAATTTTTTATTATAATTTTAGGTTAAATTTAAATCCAACAAGAACTAATGGGCTAAAATTAAAACTGGTGTGTAAACTAAGGACTCATTATTTCTTTACTGTTTTAATTAATTACTGGAATAAATTACCGAGCGATATAGCTTGTGCGCCATCCTTAGCAATCTTTAATCTTTAAAGAAAGATTAAATAATATCATTTGTGATATTATTTAAAAAGTTCACATTATGCAAGAAATAAAATCTCGACTTTTCCATCCGATTATAAATAATGCAGTTACTTCAAATTGTATTATATTATATTATTCTACAATTTCCTTTTTATTTCCTCTTAAAACTATTTTTTATTTTTCTATTTTCCTTATTATTAAGTTTTATTATTTGTTTTTTTTTTAAATGGTTGTCATTAATACAAGCACATGGCGTTGTCATCCTGCTTGGCTGGTTTTCAATAAATAATTAAATAAATGTTATCCATCGTCCTTCATAACGCACCTTCAACAAATGTACTCTCTGGTATGGAAAAAAGAAATATTACCAGATGATTGGCGCAAAGCAATTCTGCTCCCAATTTTCAAGAAAAGTGATAGGACATACTGCGGCAATTATCGAGGAATCAGCCTACTAGATGTCTCGAAAATTTTTGTTTCCTTTTTACTGAGCAGACTTGTGGAAGCACAGGACAGCAGGATGCGCCCTAATCAAGCTGGATTCATACCTGGGCGCTATTCTGCTGACCAGATATTCACGTTAAGAAGGATGTTAAAACATCGCTTCAGATATTTGCAAATCACTGTCACCTGTTTCATCGTCTTTGCGGCTGGCTTTGATTCAATTGATAGAACGGCGCTTTGAAAAGTGATGAAATGTGACGTGTTTCAGAGAAGATCATTCAACTCATAAAGGCATTTTATGCGCGTACATCGGCGCAGGTCTGTGTATATGAGGAACTGACAGAGTCCTTCAAAATAAGAACTGGTGTCCGTCAAGGTTGCGTCCTTTCCGCTACAATATATTCAACAATGCGATAGACTGGATAATGGATACTGCTTGTCGGCACTCAAGAGGTGTCCGAATTACTCCAGAGGATCATATCACAGATCTTGAATACGCTGATGATGTAGTCCTTTTTGTTGACAGTTATAACGAAATGCAAGTAATAATAAATAACGTGTCAGAAACTGCAGCAAGAATCGGACTCAGGATCAATGTAAATAAAACGAAAGTCTTTTCGTCTTATGTGCAAGAAGCTGATAAAATGCCTCTTTTTGTAAATTCATTGCCGGTTCAAAAAGTGCCCGATTTCAAATACCTTGGATTCACTCTAATACCAAATGGCCGAGCAAAAGACGATATAATAGCCTGGATCACGGCAGCTAGAGATGCATTCTTTTGGTTGACGAAACCTCTATGGAGCCATCGTGAAATTACCATTAAAATGAAAATCCGCATCTATATTGCAATGATCCGTTCGATCTTACTATATGGTTCTGAGACACGGCCAGTGAGAGTGGAGGAAATTTAGAAGTTATCTGCCTTTGACCACTTTTGTCTAAGGTACATATACGGATCCGTCGAGCGGATAAGATATCACAAGATCGCATCCATCTTCGTTCAAATATCACTTGCATTAATAGTGCCATCACAAAGCGTCGTTTCGTTGGTTAGAACACGTTCTCCGTCGTCCACCACAGGAGTTGACGCATATTTCGCTATTTGCAGAACCGTGCAATGGTTGTCAAAAGCGAGGTGGGCCAATCAAGACCTGGACTGATACGATCAGAAAAGATTTTGAACGTATAGGCGGACCAGCAATATATGGACTTAGACGATGGAAAAAGAAATGGCTTCTATAACTGTCGACGATGGTATCAGACTGCGCCGCCAGGAAGCGTTTTACCCTTGTAGACACCCTAAGCAGTAATGGTGAGAACTGTTAGAAGAACTCTAAATAAAGCAATTTTCGAAATTTAAATTATTATTATGTGCAGTGAATTCTCCTAATTCTTGGAGTTCCTAGATCTTATTTCTTGAAATATGAAGCAATAGACTAAATTACTAAAAATAGCTAGAATGAATTGCGCTTTAAATTTTGATACTTCAATTATATCTAAGCGAAACTCCAACGAGGGAGGAGAGAGACAGTTAATTTTGTACTGGGCACTTCTCTTTAAATAATTTGCCATAATAATTTGTAATAATCTGCCATGATGTGGCTAAATTTTTGGAAATTTTACTTTTAGCTTTCTCGATTTCATAATAATTGATTTTACATCACAAAGAGGCAACTGCGAGTTTGTTAAATTGTTTTAAAAAAACTGATTTAATTCATATGTATTAAATTAAAGTACTTCTATCCGCTAAATGAAAACTGTTCATTTTTTTATTGTTTCATGGGGAGAAATAAGTTTCACTGACTTTACTATCAGTTTTAATAAAATTAATCACTAGACTTGGTTGAATTTTTGTCTTATACTTTGCCGTCTTGTTTTCGGCTCATAAAATGCTCATTCCTAAATCCAATCTTAAAACCATTTAATAAAAACTTAGAAGATAAAACCATTAATAACGGAAGGATTTAAGTTCGATAAGATAGTTTTTAAGTTAGAGTTACACATTAGACGAAACTTTTCTTCTCTGAGCACTGAATGCTTCAAATTAAAATATTTTACATTCAATAATTTTCCCAGATAATAGAATATCTCATATTGTCCAAGTTCTTCAGTTCAACAAGACTATTGCTAACGCCTTACATATCAATGGTAAGAATTATTTTACGGAAAATTTTCGAATTTCACTCTGAAATTCATCTAAGAATTTTATTTTAAAAAATAGTTTAAACAAGATTTATCCTAACTGCGCTATAGAACGGTTATATGGAATTAATCTCCAGTTTTCTTTGTTTTGTTATTTTTTATTTATTTTATTTTCCTTTTTACTAGTTTCCTTACTTTCCATATGGTTTTTCGGCGTTTTCAACGAATATTAATTCGTTTTACTCCAATGACGACAATAAGCGCGTAATCTCTTTTTAAATCATCGAGACTTGAAAAATTCAATACATTTTTGGTAAAATATTTGCTTTCAATGAAATTCGAAGAAATATACGTAATTCGTAATTCATCTAATTTCTTTAATGCGCAAATTTGCATTCTTTAAGTTTCAATTTTATTCAATGAACTTATTCTAAAAAAATTTTTAATTTTTTCCAAAATCGAAAATATCCAAATAACAAATTCAAAAATATATAGGAATTTCCATAAACTATTTGTTACACCAAGTTGTAAAGCTTTTTTTTATTCGCCTTTGCATTTGCAAATATATTCCGTTTACACTGATCTTGAGAAATGAATGAATGCAAGTGAACGACAAAAGTTCGTTCATAGTTTTCAACTGGTCTTGCGCGATGCGACAAATCCTAGTGAGTTGGGCTTTGATTTAACCGAGTGTTTTCTCTTTTTCAGTATTTTTCATTGTAATCGATTTGCGCTATAAATTTTAATGTTTTAATAAACCTTCTTATTTGAGAATTTTCGAGCGTAAGACGAAATCTTTTGTATGCTTAAATATAAACAGGTAATTAATCAAAAATTACAAATTTCGATGAAAAACTAGCGATAAAATTATTAAAAAATGACGAAACCTAAGATAACCTTTTGATGAAAGAAAATGTTGGTAAATAATTCAAATTATCCCTATAAATTTCGAAAATTTTTGTGGGCAATAATAAGCGGAGCCTTATAGGTATAAAAAATCGAAAAATTAGGCTTATAGCCTAATTAGAGCTTCTGAAATCCAATAATCCACCAGGCAAAAGCTAAAACTAGATCTCAGCTGGAAAGTGACTCTCAGACGAGATTGGTTCGAAAAAGCGATACAATTTTAGCCTTATAAAATTATCATTACTGAAGCTGACCACTGAGACTCACCCTGATTTTAAATCGCAAATCAATTTTTTTCGAGATTTTATGATGATATGATAGTTTCAGAGATTTAAATTCGTAATTATTCTCACAAAATTTTAATTTAATTTCTCAATTTTGAAAATCTAACTGCGCAAATTTTTTCCCAGCTAAAAGTGGTTTTTAGAATCAAATTTTATGAATATTTTTAATAGCTTTCTTTTCAAATTGATTTTTCTACTTTGAACCATCTATTAACACTTCATCAATTTACTCTTAAATATGGTTGCTATTTCAATACATCTATTTTAATAATTCTTTACTGCAATATGGTACATCTGCAAGGTCGTTTTATCGTTTAAACCAATATTTACGACTAATTTTAATTTTAAAAAATCTTTTAAAATCCTGCATGAATGCCTGCCTGGGTGACCGATTTTAATTTTTGATGATAATAAGCTAGAAAAATGATAAATAATAATTTATGGCAAAATCTAAGAGTTAGAATTGTTCAAGCTTTTTCCAACATGGAATTGCAGTAATTTTTTATTGCTTGCATTGTATCTTACTAAAGGTGGCTGATTGGCCCCCGCTGTCTTTCTTTAAAGTTCTTGGTTGCAATATCTCTATTATGTTTGTGTTCTTGCACATTCTTAAGCTGTGCGCATCGGTGATCTAACCAAGAATAGCTTTTATGATAATTAACCTATTAATAACATGTCTCGCAAAAAGCATAGTTATGAAAGTGGGAGATCGGATTACTTGCGTGGGACGGGACGGGACGCTATAAACACACCGAAGACCAGTCATGCCAATGTCTCTCTATTTTTCTGAGGGAGCTTTTTGCTAACAATATATTAATTGCAGAAAAATCTATTTAAACTCTCTATGGGACTCTCCAGACAACAAACGTCCGAACCAGGTTGACTATGTTTTAATCATTGCTGGAAGAATTCTGTATTATATAGCCGTTTATACTTTTACTATGAAACTGGCATCGTCCACGGATCTGGCTACGTTATGATTAACTAAGCTCAGATCGAGGTAAAAAATCAATAAGTCACTTGCATAAGTCACTCATTAAATCTCATTATATTAAATTAGCAAATTCAGAGGCAATAGGGGCATTTCCAGCTAAGGCATTGAAGCACCTAAAGGACTTTAATATTAATGGCTCTCGGGAACGGCCGATGGTCAACGGTCTTCAGAAGTCTTTCGCTCTAGAAAGAACCATTCAAAAGAGGTCGAGTTGGGTCTCGAACAAAACGGCCATTTAACCGCGTGCTAGAAGATATTAATTATCGCGACTTCTATAGGCTCATGGTTTCGATAGAATAAGAATCGATATAGGAAGTATATGGCCTTGAATATGCAAGCAGCTCAAATAGAAATTATATCAGAATTATCAGAAATTATACAGCCTTTTTCGCAAAGCAACTGTATCTCGATAGATGACCAGTGAAATGGTCTGATAAGAGATTGGAAATCCCTCTGTTTTTTTAAAAATCTTATCTCTCATTGAATAGAAAGGCTAAGCTTAATTACGACAGACCTTGTAAAATGTATAATTATAAATTATAGAACGAGTAACTGGAGATTGAAGAATTGAATTAAACAATTTCTTTCAAAGAAGAGGGTCTTGAAGGTCTTCTAAAGTTCTTCATCTGCAAGCCTTATATAGGAATATCACGACCATTTTAAGTGGTATTCATCGTCATTCATGAAAAAAATTTATTGATATATCGCTTGTTGCTAAGTTCCTTATGGATATTGTAAAAAAATCGATTAATGAATGAATACAACTGAATGACTTGCCTGCCACACCTTAATATTTTAGAAAAATTCTTGATCCGAGGCAGTAGTAGATATAATAATCAGCGAAAGTATTTCAAATTGGGTAGTTAAACCTCAGTAATATACTGATAAGAAAAAACAATCATATTCGAGGTAAATTGAATCCAAAGATTAAAAAGACAAAATCAAATAAGAAACGGATGAATAAAATAAAGGATCTGGAATAAAAAAAACGTTATATATTGGAATACTGGGACCGAAGGGGTTAAGTCGCTTGATTGCGAGAGAATAAGAAAAAAAAAATTTTCTTGAGAAGCGTATATCACATCTGTAAACTGACCCTAATGGTTTATTGACATATATAAATGGAATGAGTATTAATAAAAATTGAATAACAACAGTGGAATAAGAATTAATTAAGTTAATGAAAGATGATTTCTTTTGGTCGGTCGGGATCACTAGTTTGATATAATAAATTTTGAAAAACATCGCATTTCGCAACAGATAGCATCAAAAGTAATGGCTGACATCGGAAGAGATTTGAACATAGAAGCCGACAATAATTCTAACGATACATGGGCTTCAGCAGTGGAAAAAAGAATCGGTTCAGTTATTTCAATAGAATTTGCAAACTTGCCAGTGAAACCAGCCAACTAACAGCGGTACGAGTTGAAAGAAAAAAAAGAATTTAAATTCCATGAAATTCAAAGATTCACGATTTTTATAAAATTTTACAAAATCTGAAACGGATATCAATGAAATGGAATAATTTTAGAGGAAATCTCAGAACAAAAATTTTGCAACAAATTATAAAATCTTTGAATAAATGTTTTTTTTAAAAATTAACTTTTTGCTAATGAATTGTAATACTGATTGACTAATATCAACAAGGATTATCGAATTATTACACAATTTAGTGAATGCTATATTGCTCTTCTTATTTGCTTTATTCTTTTCTTACTACTTTTTATGATTTCAGTAGTGAAATGTTCTTCGTTAAATGAATCGTTATTGGCGAAAAAAATTCATTATTTTTTTAAATCCAAAATTATCTGAATAAACGTCATTCCATCAGCAATTTATTCCAATCATCTAAATTTCACGAATTTCCAAAGATTTTTTGAAAGTTTGACGTGGTTACTCCAGATGATATTTATTTTGTGGTAAATTGTCCGCAAAGATTCCATAAATTCTTCCTGGGTTCGCTTTATCTTTAGAATACTTCAGAGAAAAATAGTAGTGGAGTAATAATAGCTCTGGAAAAATTATTGCCTTATTATTTTAAATTGAATATTATTTATTAGAGCATTCCAGCATTTTAGAATTTAGCTGATTTTTCAAATTTTTAAGGTAATTTTTTGTTTTATATATTTCACAACTGTCTTTTGGACAATTTTGTTAAAATGACGGCTATTTTTGATATGACTCGTCGTTTTACTCTACGTGACACAGATGAACCAATTCTTAAACAAAAACTTGATAATGCGTGGAATGAAAGTTCGATAGAAGGAACTGAAGGACATGTTAGTGCTTGTATTTTTGTTAGTTCTCTATTCCATGTTTGGTTAACATTGTCACCTTTTATTGTTTGAGACAATTTGACAACTAGTTTTGTACTTATGCTGCATATGATTTTCCGTTCATATATACAATCATTCCTTGATATCATTCTCAGATAATTTTGGAAGTTGGTTCAATCTATTCAAATGTTAAGCCTTCAGTTATGTTCAGGCTTCTATCTATCACATTTCTAATTGCATTCATGTTTCTGTATTTTCATGGAATAATTGTTTAGTGATATTAAGAATAGATCTAAAATATAATAATAAGGAACAGAAAGTAAGAAATAATATTTAATAAGAAAACCTATAAATCAGCAAAATTTCATAATTCTGGATATACTTGAAAAGTACTGTCTGTTTAGTTACGAATGGCTTTCTTTACCTATGAATGGAATCTTTTCAATTTTCAATTAAAATTTTTGCTCTAAAAATATGGAATTTGCAAAAGGTAACTAGTGATTTTCATCATACTTTTATTTTAACTAGAAATTTATCAAAAAAATTCACAGGCAATCGAAAAACTCCCTGACCGAGTACTGCAACACATTTTCTCCTATTTATCTCCAATCCAGATTCTTCGCGTTGGACAAGTATGCCGCAAATGGAAAGACATAGCAAACAGTCCTTCATTATGGCAGTTTATTTCTTTTAGACCCAATTATGGTGGCTTACAGGTTAATACAAAATACAAAACTATATAAAATTATAAAATTTTAATGAAAGGTTGAGTCTTGGATCATAAAATAGATATACTAAAACAATTGATTTCAATATTTTCAAATGACTGCTTATAAAATCTCTTCTTGTGTAATATTAAATATGATAAAAGAAAAGTCTGACTGGGACTACAAACAAATTTCGTTTTTTTTGGTTTTTTCGCCAAGCCAATCTTATAAAACTATAGCAATCCATTGAAATTCTCAATCTAACCAACGTGAATCTAGTTTAATTTTTCATTATCGGATACAAAATCTTTAGGTAACAAACCAAGAAATTTTTCTTCACTTACTTGGCACACGTTTTACTGATTTACGAGTGATTGAACTGGCAACTGATTTAATTACTCCAACCGTCTTACATGAACTTTCAGCTAAATGTCCAGCATTACAATCGCTCACTTTAGGTTATTAATTATTTGGTTATAGTCCTTTTAATTTATTATTTTTTCAGCAGTTCACAGCAATTTTTTAAAAAACTATGATTCATACGAATTCGTGGAAAAAAAATAGATTTCAATTTCAATTTTAGTTATACATTTGGAAAAAAGTCGCTTTTGCAATAAATTTCGATTTGAAATGGGATTACTGGATTTATTTGAGAAGTTCTTCGGGATGAAAATGAAAATATTTAGAGGAAAAAAATTTTTACCAGCTTCTAAAAATTGCAGATGGGAGACCAATGTTTCTGCCATCAACAAAGGCATCACTGAATTTATTCTATATCCATTATATCCTTATTGAACGCATCAAATTTTTCAATTTTTGCGCAACCTAATTCACTTGTAAAAAAACATTTGATTTTTTTGCAGATTTTTCAACAGCAATGCAATTACATGATTTCACTGAATTGCAAAGCTTTCCCAGCCGTTTGAATTCATTAACAATTTGTTTGAGCGAAAATATCTTTTTGGAAGGATTTCTAAGGAAAGTTTATACTTTTATTTCATCAATGGAAGTTCTCCATATAATAGGTTTCTTCATTTTGCTAAATTTCACATAATGGATAATGTCGATAAATTTTCAATTCATAGAACGTAAAGAAAGAGAAATGGAGAATGAAATTCTTCAATGAATTGTTAATTCCTTGTTACCTTGCGAAAAGTCATTCATTAGACTTCAGATTAATTTGAAGAAAAGTCAAGATTTTTGTTTCTTTATTGTTATATTGGTGAAAAAAAATTTCTTAATTTATTATAATGGCCCAGGTTAGATTGATTGATTGACTCAGCTTTCAGCTTTGCTACATGATTTAATTGCATATAATTGCCTTAATTACTTTTGTGAACTATTGACTTGCAGGGACTTATGAAAAGGTTGAAGATGAAGAGGAAGAAGTTTATGAAACTGTCAATGTATATAAATTAAAACAATATATTCCAAACGTTCGAGTTGTAAACTTATGGGGTGTAAGTTCATCGATCTTTTTTAACAATACATTTATAGTTTGGCTAGTTCCACTAACTACTAGGATGGAAAGCGTCCATCAAATGTTGTTGATTTCTTTCCTTTTCAGGTGCCTTTTATAACTGATGAACATGTTGACGCAATATCATCGAACTGTGCTCATTTAGAATGTCTTTCGATAAACTACTGTACAAAAGTTACGGGTTCTTGCTTGAAACTTGTTCTTCAACGATGTAAAAAACTGAGGAGTCTCCATTTGGCACATGCTTGTAAGAAATTATTGATAAGAATTATTCGTGAATTATGAATTGCAGCTGAATCATTCATAGAAAAAAAAGGCTTCTAAGATTGCAGCTAAGCGATTAAATTTTTGAATCATTCATAGAAAAAAGGCATCTAAGGGATTATTATTCAAAGCATTCTATAGAACTGATAAAAATACTACTACTACTCATTTGTTGTGGAGGAATAATTTGAAGAATTGATGATGTTTGAGGTTGGACTGATGGAAGCTAACTCAGAAAGGATGTGGTTCTTAGTATAAGATCCAATGATTTGTCGTCGTACCCAAGCAGAATAAGAATATTTTTTTTATTTCTATTATAATACAAATTATAAACAATAAAGATTGAACACAAAATGAGAAAAAATTAAAAATTGTTTCGAATTATTAAAAAAAAATGAAGAAATCAAGTAGATTCGACTTCAGCTTCATCTTCAACTTCCTATTTTACACACATATATATAGTTTTGATTGCATAGAAAGAACATTTTAGGGGGAATGGCATGCAACGAAAAAACATGCAAATACACAAAAACTATAGTTATCTGATCATTATCTGATTATAAAGATATGAGATTCGTTACAAGATAAGAGATTTCGCACGCTAATTTAGTTTTTCAGCTATTCAAAAAAAGGAAATGGAATCTTGCTAAATCAAGATAATTAAAAAAACGTATGAAAGAATTATTATAGGAATTTGAAATTAGTAAGCTTATTCACAGCACTTATTTGACGAATTCATTTTCTACATAATTTTTTTTGTTCACTATTTGCGACATCATTGGTTTTGTTTATTTTCTCCATCGTTCTTCTTCTTCAAATGGTGACTAAATCTTGGATAATGACTGTTCATTAAGAAAAAAGTACTGGGTTAAAAGTAGTAATAAAATTATTCCGTTTATTTCAGCTCTCGACGATAAACTAGTACAAAACGTCGATTGGGAAAAGACTCGAATTGAAGAACTCAATATTTGTGGAACTGAACTTTCATCTGATTCTTTGATCATTATCCTTACTAGGTTGAAAAATTTGCGATGGTTGAATGCATCATGGCTTGAACAAATGGATGACAAGGTTTTTGAATAATAACTTAATATTTTATCTATTTTAAAAACTGATGCTTGATTTTTTAAAGGTAATGGAAGCATGGATGGCTTCTGATGCTATTGCTAATATTCAATATCTAAATTTGGATACATGTGATTCTTTAACCGAAACATCACTTACCGATTTCATAACAAGGTTTGGTCAACAGATCCTTGGCCTTAATCTTGGCGGCCATCACAAACTACTTGAATATTTTTGGATGAATATGATTCCAAAGTTACGCAATATAAAGTAAAGTATCTTCTAGTTTTTAACCATATAAGTATTGCCCCATTGACTACTTAATTTTTATGAAAATAAACTATATTATTTCACAAAATGGTTTGAACAGCTCACATGAAAGATATGAGTGATCCTCAGTGCTATCCATGAAAATTTCAGAGTGCTGGTGATGGGTACTGCAGAAGATTGTTGCCTAAAGGTTATTGCAAAAATTCATATCGATCAGTTTATTGACTGCATTGCTCAAAACTGTTTTCGCTTGCGTAGGTTGGAGATTAGATGGGATGATGAAACGCTTCGATTTAGCGATAAATCAAGGTTTGTATTGTGAAAATGGATAAATTACTGGTGATCTGAATGCCAGCAATAAGGAAGAGATCTTCTAGAGCTCACCATTTCTGGGCAGGCTTCTTTCATTGGCTTATCGGATCTCACAAATTTTGACAGAAAGTTATTTGGCAGAAATACGGACAGACTGCCACAGTTTTTAAAAGACAAATTTGTTACTACCAATGATAGAATGGCTGCATCGACTGCGATATGAGAATAGCAACTCACTCAGTGAGCTATTTTCTGCTCGTACTTCTAGTTATGGTTATATTAGTTGAATAAACATGTTAAAATAATTTCAGCAAATTTATCGATATATTACGATTGAAATGTCTCAAATTGCATTCTTTGGTACTTTCTGATGGGCAATATTACGAACTTGTTCGTTCCAATTTTGAAAGAGCTGACCGAATGTCTGTTGTCAGGTTTGAAGCCAAGTCTTTCGTAATATTGTTGAATGAATCAGTTTTGCATAAACATCAAATAGTAAGGAAGTTCAAAAGAACTTTGTGATTTCCATTTCTAGAGAAAATTATAACATGCGATAACGTTAACAGCAAATTAAAACAGTAATTGAGAGCAGTTAAAATGCTGCGTACCGCAAATATCATTTTGTTTTACAGACGGGCTGAAACATTCTCGCATTTGGGCTTTATAACATTCCAATCAAACAACTTTGGAGGATTTTGCCCAAGATAAATCTTCGTAATTGCTCCACCAATCCTCAAATAATAACCATATTTCATCATTAAAAGGGTCCTAAACATTTTAAAAAAATGAGATTTAATTTGAGATGAGATTGAAATTTAATTTCCAAACTACAAATCCGTATAATTGATGGGCGGAAAAGAGTCCTCCATCCATTGCGAGGCGATGTTAAGAAATTTTCTGGAACTCTGGAACTATAGAACCAATTTTCTTATGATAAAAATCCGTCTCATTTTTTATTCCATTTTACTTTTTTATCCTATCAAACAATTATCATTAGTATTTGAATATCGTTGTTTGGCAAATTTCCTCACTAACGTATGCATGATACCAAAGTAATATATCTGCTACTTTTCTGAAGTGAGTGAAATTAAATTGTAATTAAAAATTTCAGGACAACTGAAATGTGCCGCACGGGCCTAATGCATTGTTCGCATTACTACAGTCAATTACTCTTCAATTAAATCAATTGATAATCGGCAGTGGTTCCATGTGACTGTTTATTTATTTAAAAAATAATAGAAAATAATCCCGAAACTTTTAGCAAAATGGTTATCGAAATTGAGCAGCTTGCATTTTCTATTTTCAGACAGTTTTATCCTAAACAACATAATGAGCTATTTGCGACTGCCAGATGATCGACCATGAAATATACAATTATAAAAGTACCAACACTGATCTGCTGAATCTCTTGGCTTTCATCAAAGAAACTTCAAGAGGAGCAGTAAGGCAGCCATCTAATTGTTATCAATATTTTCCCAGATTTTCTAATTCTCATTTTTTTTTGAAACGAAATTTTCTGGAATTCAACATCGCTCGGATTCAATTTTTTATAAGTTTAATCCTGCCAAGATGGGAAAATAGAAACTATGAACGAATCCAAGCAATCATAGCACTCGGCCGCATAATACAAAACAGGAAGAAATTGAAAATTAAAAATTTACTTGAGAAAATTAGCTCCTTACATTATCGTTTTTATTTCTGATGAAATCTGGCATAAAAAAATTATTAAAAGGTTTGAATTGTTTTATAATATTTTTGATCACTTCGATTGTTTTATATTCTTTATTTAATAATTCCTCCTCAATGAATAGAACTGGCAATTCAAAAACGAAAGAAAAGGGGTTTTCTTGAATAAAGTTTGGCAACAATAAGAATAAATTAATCAGAATAAATTGAGAGCAACAGAAAAAAAATTGAGCAAATTGAGTATTAAATAAAGAAAAAGCAAAGAAAATCATAAAGTATCCCTTACAAATTTGCACTCCTCCACGCATTTAAATAATAAATAATCATCTGCAGGAAGCTCTGTTCTTTCTTTTTTCTCTAACCCGCATATCTCCTATCTCACTTTCACTTGATGCATCCACGCTTACATTTGTCGACCGTTTTTGCCTATGTTTCTTTAAATTGTTCGTTCCAGACGATTTAACCTGGCAATTAGCTAAAAAATCTCCACTGACACGTTGGCCATCTGGATGGTCTCCCTCTTGCGGAGAAGCTTTTTTGGTATTTGAGTTTGCACATAATTCATCTGCTTCTGTTTCATCAGAATTTGATAAACATATGCAATCTTCTTGATATACCGAATGTTGGATTGGATTTTGCTATAAAATAATGATAAAAGTTAATTTTAAACAAGCAGTAAAAAACTTTCATTGAATTTAAATATGTATCTATGAAAATCAAAGACAAAAGTAGCACATAAAAATTTAAGATGTTTAATTAAATATTTATTCGATTAGAATATATAGTAAATTATTAATTACGCGATCCATTAAGACAAAGAAAAAATCCAAAAATTATGTTAAAAACAGATAAAATGAAAATGTTTGAAGTTATTCCCACACATAAAAGTTGGGAGAGTTGATAAGTTCGACAAATCTAACATTAAAAAGGATAAAAAAGTTAACTTTTCAAGAAGGTTAAAAGGGTAAAGTTCGCTTGATTGGTAGAAAAAATTTGAAAAAACAAGGACAAGAAAATGACTTAATTTAATTTTTCAATGCAATTAAAATTTTCTTTCAGATAATTCAACAGCATATGAAAAACAATAAGAGAAACAAACCGTCACTTCACATTTATAACCATTTATATTGTGAACTTTTCCTTCTGCGAGACAACTATCAGCTTCGCTTTTATGTTCAAAAATAACAAATCCAAAGCCTTTTGGATTACCAAGAACTTCGATTTGCTCCACAGTGCCAAATTTCGCAAAATACCTCCTAAGTATATCAACAGAATGTTTACTACTATAAATCCCTGAAATGAAACTTACTAAACCAGATGAACGAAAAAAGATATCATGTAAGTTTAAAAATTTTAAAAATTTTAAGAATTATTAAATCTAAATAAATTGGAAAAAGCTGTTCATTTCAAATTTTTAAATTAAAAAAATTGAAAGAATTTCATTCGGGAAAAGATCCACAAATAAAACAATTTTACGCGAGATGAATTTTCCAACCAAAGTGAACTTACCTGATAAAAATAGTTTGCAACCAGGTTCTGGCTCAATATCTCCTTCTAAAAATGGAGGAAGATTATTAATGAGGAGTCCCGACATTTGCTCACGAGGTATAGCTGGTTTGGAATCGACTAGCTAAATAGCGCACAGAGGTTATTAAGGAATGCAAAATTACAATCTAAATTCTGCGGAAGAATTAATCATATTCGGTCTCACCCATAACCCTTATATCCATCCACTCGTAGATCAATCGTTTATATAAATGTTAATAAGTATTAAATGATTTGTAAACAGAATGCGATGAAAACAAAAAATAAAAAAATATCAAATACCAAGGACAGGATAATTTTCATTACTGATAAAATGCTAACTTTTCCATTGATTATATGAGGTTTATTCGCCATAGCAGCCTCTGCCATATGTACTGAAGCAAAAGTTACAAATCCAAAACCGCGTGAACATTTGGTCTGGGGATCTCTTATAACGATGCAATCCACAACGTCTCCCCACTGACTATAAAAGTTGTGCAACTGAAAAACATCATATTTCAAAACTTCATAATTCCAAATGAAACCCAAAGAACTATGAAAGATTAAAATAAAGGAAACAGGTATAACAGGTATAAAAGAAATACATCTTGATCGGTAGTTTCATGATTCAAACCACCAATAAATAATTTTCGTGGTTGATAAGGCGAGTTTTCTGTAGTGAATTGATCAGTAGTGACAAATCTGGGAAAAGGAGAATAAAGTGGAAGAGGAAAGCTTCCACTATACGGTAAAAATATATTTCCAGTAGACACTGCAGGCATATAAAAGGCAGGAGGTGCATATATTCCACCTGAAATTAATTTTAAAAAAAGATGATGTGAAAATCACAAATTACTGACGCCCTGATACTTCTTTAGAAACATAATTTCTGCTTGAATTTTCAATATGATAAATAAATGAGAAAGGTGAAGGTACAAAGGTGCAAAATTAAAAAAGCTGCTTAATAATGAATAATGATATATTGCTTAAACTTTGATATAAGTCATGCATAGCTTTTGGTCACACTATTTGCCAAACTGCACCAAACATAAGCCATAAACCGCAAATAAAAATAGCTAAATTTTGAAAAAAATTGTTTCTAAACTTCTAATAGCTCTCATTAGTGGTTAGGCTGGTTCCGCTGGCTATAAGGGTAAGACGTTTCCAAGCTGCCCCGTCCGATGCCATGTTAGTAATAATAGAAGCCATTCCATTTTTCAAGTCCATAGTCCATCTAAGTCCATATATCGCTGGTTCCCCTATATGTTCAAAATATTTCCTGGCCGTATCAGTCCAGGTTTTGATTGGCCCTCCTCGCTTTTGATGCCAACCATCACATAACGAAATATGTGGTGGATAAAGGAGAACGAGCGAACGCTACGCTTTAACACAGATGGTATTTGAGCGAAGATGGATACAAATGGATGGATACATGTGCGATTTTATCCGCTTGATGGATCCGTACAATGTAACTTAGACATGAGAGATCAAAGGCTAATAGCTTTAGCTTTTTAATATCTTCCACTCTCATTGTCCATGTTTCGCAGTCATATAGCAAGATCGAGCGAACTGCAGTTATGTGGACACGGATTTTCGTTTTTGTGGTGATTTCGCGACAGTTCCACAAAGGTTTCATCAACCAGAAAAACATATTTCTAGCTATATAGTTATCCGGGTTACAACTTCATCCTTTTCCTGGCCCTTTGGGATCAAAGTGGCTCCAAGGTATTTAAAGTCGGGCACTTCCTCAACCGACAATGAAATGAATTAAAAATAAGTATCAGCATCTTGAATATAAGACGAAAGCTTTTCGTTTTATTTATATTGATTTTGAATCCGATTCTCGCTGCAGTTGTGGTTTTCTAAGCAGAGCGAAACGAAACAAACCAAAAAAATTGGTGACTATCAATTCACTTTTTTAGGTGATTGATTTTATCAAAGGTCAATGCTCATGCTTCAATGCTTCAAATTAAATAAAAAACAAAAAAAACTCAATGCCTCAAATTAGTGATTTCTGATTCGTTTATTTACAACCACTGAATCAAATAAATTTCCAAAAGTGCAGCAAAATTCGTAACTCTCACGTAATAAGCAATATTCACTGAATGAATGAGACATGAAGTAACTTAAATAAATCCAAAGATTTTTTGCATTGTTACCTGCATTCATCTGCGAAAACATCACTGAGAAATCGACAAAGAAAACAGCGGAAAATTGAAAGTGGAAGCTGAATTCCAGTAATGTTATTAAGTCATTAAATATATTTGTTAATAATGCATTTACTCGTTTCCACAAACTTTGCCAACAGTCTGAAATAAGTTCATCAAGTTCTTTCGAAATTTGTATGGCTATACGCTGAATTAAATAAATAAAATTACAAAAAAACTTTATGTATAAATCAATCGCTAATATTTTAAAAAACACACACAATGCAAAATAAAAATCATTTAAAAGAAAGAAAAAAAAATGTAAAATGAAATAATAATGTTCAGGAACGATAGTTGGAATGTTTGGATTTGACAAATACAATCGTCCGTTGAAACCGATTCGGGGAATTCCCACCATTTGCATTTGCTCTACTAAACCGCTGACCTTATAGAATAAATATTATTATATAAAATATTACGCGATTTTACAAGAATTATCGTGCGTATTACAGCAAAGATATAAATTACGAAAGGTCAAATCTAAATAAGTTCAACTCAGAAACACAGAAAAAAAGTTTCTGATTCCAGCCTTTTCAATGATTCAGAGGATAAGGAAAAAATGAAAATTTGAAAAAAGTTTTTAAAGCAAATTCATCTCAAAGAATCGGAAATTTTTTTCCGAAAAAATTTTGTCAGCCAAATCAACGATAAACATATTTGGATTCAACTGAAAAGACGGCATATGAGACGGCAAAAGCCCGACAAAAATTCAAAACTAAATTAAACAACCTGAGAACTGGAATCTTTAAATAAAAACAAAAGTGGCTAACGCTCTTCATGTTTGGTTAGATTAGCTCTGCTCGCTAATTAGCATGAGGAGAGACTTTTGCGAAGCAGCCATATGGCAACAGAACAACAATGAATCGCCAGTGCCGTCCTATATCCTTAATGGCAAATTTATTCCTGTCGGAGGCAAGAACCAAACCCTTCTCCTCTCTCAACACGGTAAGACCTGAATCACTGTCCACTCGGCTGCCTTGGGATATTTCAAAGCGACCGAAGGATGACAAAAAAATTTGCGAAACTTCCCACGGCAGTTGCAATAGATTAAAATGAGTTGCAATAGATTAAATGAAATGAGATGAGAATATTTACAAATATTATCGATATTTTGATTAATAGACAATAGTTGCATGAAACAAAAAATTTTCTAAAATATTTTCAGATAGAAATATTTATTTGACAAATGAAAATCAAAAAACTTTGAGAAAAAGTTTGAATTAGTTTTATTAAATCGTTCCGATAGAAAAAATTTTTAAAAATTTCTATCAGAAAAAAATTCGTCGAAAAAAACAAATTTAAATGAAAACTTAAATAAACAAATTTAAATGAAAACGCAAATGAAAACTTAGCGCAAAATTATGCATATATTTCTCTTAAAAACAACTGAAGAAAGTATGCAAATAGAAAGTTGGAAAATTGATAAATCAAATGAAGAATTTTACAAGAAATACTAGCAGACGCGAGCAACAGTAAATATCAACGGTAAACATTTTAATCTGAAAATCTCAGATTGTTACCCACTTTACAACAACGCTTCGAACAGCAGCACCGCTGTAGTTTAACAAACGAAGCTGTAGTTTTGAAACAAAGCGATTTTTATGAAATTTACAACTGTTTTACCAACTTCAACCGCACTTCACTGATTTTTGCCATTTTTACGATAACTCTCGACAGCGTTTCATTTACTAGTGATGATTAATCTATTTTTAAATAAAATTTACCATAAATCTGCGACCACAAGTGCGCAAATTTGCAGGGAAAGCATTTAAGCACCGACGAGCCGCAAACAGAGACAACTATATAACTAAATGAGAATCTACCGAGGAAAGCACTTTTGGCATTTTCGATGAATCTGCCACACACAAATGGAAATCTGAAAATATCCGAAGTAAACGCCGATATTTTACGAGTCGTTTTCAAACGAAACAAAACAAACTCGCCGAATTTAAACACCAACGATCGATCCACAACAATTAACACTCTCGAAATATTCAAAGTTATACAAAAATTTGCGCCAAAAAAGCATAAACGCAACACGAACTGTTTCCATTCATCGTTATCGTTTCATTTATCTGCTTTGCACAATTCGAATCAGAAAAAGGATTGGAAACGAGGGAACAACAGCTATAAGCGTTTGTCAAAGAACCCTCTCGAACTACTTTTCCGTCTAAATCAGCCACTCTACTTCGATGAACGCCGTTCCACGAATTTCCCACCAATGAGCTTTTTTGCCATATTTATACTTTCATTGCCACGAAGGTCACCTTAAAGATGGAATATTTTCAAAAAAAGCTGACTCGATTAGATGTCAGTGAATAAAACCGCGATCGGACGGTGATGCGCCTTTCAAAACAGAAAGTGGTGGAAATGCCGAAAAAGGCAAAATAGATTTGGAAATTCCATCGAAAAATACGAAAAAAAGACGAATCGATCGCAGAAACTAAGAAAATGAAACCAATCACCGACTAATGAATCGTTTTAAAGAGAAAATTACAAGGAACAGAAATATAAAACGTTTCAACTTTTGGCAATCAAATGCACTTGTTTTCATCTCTTTTGACCTTAAATAAACACAAAATGATGCGAGAAAAATTTTTTATGACGAAAAAAGTGAATTCCTATAGGACTCGAGCGCCCCTGCAAAGCAAACTGAGAATAATTTACGCGGAATTCGCAAACGGCTGCTGCAAAAACAAATAAACCGATTTCCCTTCTAATCATTATTAGTTCAGGTTCGCTGCCTTTCGTTGCAACTAGAAGCCTTGCGCATGCACAATGAAGTCGGAGATAGAGTAGAAACGAAATATCTCTAATGGAAGTCTGCCGGCGCTCCGCTTTCTTATCGTCCTTATTGAATGTGAAAAACTACTCTTTCAGTCCTAATTTACAAAAAACCATACATTTTCCAGCAATTATCAAACAAAAATAAAAGCAATATATCGCCAAAGCAATAAGTAACAGCTGCTATAAGCACAACAGTCGCCACCTTCCAAAATTAACCACAAAATTTGAATGAAACACAAGTCAACGAAGTTGCAATTGAAAATAGTGTGAAATTATAAAATTACATTAAATTAATTTCTAACAATTTCTAACGATGAAAAAAAGTTCTATGAAAATATGTACTTTGTGAAATGGAGAAAAGTAGAACCGAGAATAAAATCAAAAATAAAGCTTCGGGCTCAACTGGTCACTCAAATTACTATCACAGTATTTGCCAACCATTCACGCAAACTCTTCGGCGCTTCTACTCAATTTCTGAAATTGAAGCAAACCGATTATTTGAATAAACCAAGAATTGACGAATGTCCACTCAGAAATTTGAAAAAAATTCTCTTCTTAATTCCACTAACATTATGTTTTGCTTTTTTGGTGCAAAAAATAATTTCTAAATTCATATATTTTATATAAGCAATTGATATGAATGATCTTTGACAGTTCAAGCAAATAAATACTATTAAAATAATAATTTGATGAACAAATATTTAGAGAAAATGGAGGATTCTCTCCACAAATGATTTCGACAAAGTGGGTCCGCTAGCTATATCACTTCGACGATTATTTTCAGTTATATAATCAGATATTCAATTAAGGTACTTATATCCCTAAACTGATACTATTATAATACAAAATGAAATAGGAAAACCGATAAATCACTATAGCAACTTCAATCCACGATAAAAATATTAAATTTTACTCTCCATTTATTCGATAAAAGCTTTATGAAAAACAAATGCATCTGAAGATTTGTTCCACATACTATAAAACCAATAAAATAATTGACGAACTAACAAATTTGAAAAAATTTGAAGATATATACATAAGAAAAAAGAAAAAACAATCTTTCCGAAAAGAAATTCAATAAACTTAAAATAACCATAGGTATAGAAAATAACCATAGGCAATCATTTATAAAAAACAAAGAAAAATTAAAATGATAACAAATTTTCATCTAACATCGCCCGTGTTGGATTTACGAAAATATTTATCGAAAATCGAATCTGAATATTCATTAGAATATTAATAATAATTAAATCAAAAATATTCTTAAATGTGATGTAAATACTGTCAAAAGTATGAAAGTTTAAAAAAAAATAATAAAAATCCAAAAAAAGGGGACCACATGCTACCGTTAAAAAAACACAGACCCATCAATCATTTATTAATAAAACTTCAAATCGCCTCCTGTATAAACTAATTTAGTCGAAAACACTGCTATCATATTTTTTTTCAACTTCTGCAATGAAAAAATAGAAGAAAATCCACTTCGCAACACACTTAATAAAGATATTTCGCTTCACTTACAAATTCTTTTCGAAATATCAGCCAAACAAAAAAAAAGGGCGAAATGAACGAATTATCAGACAAACAAACTAACTAACCAACTATGTGATTGATAAGTATAGAATTTCAACCGACCAAACAGCCTTTCTTTTTCAATCGCAAAAAAACGTTTTAAAACGAAAAATTTATCGAAGAATTAATAATAATAAAATAATTAAAATAATTAGCAAAATTAATAAAAATGCATTAAATATGTTAGAAAATACAAAACATATAATTCAAAAAGAGCATTCATAAATTTATAAATTTTTAAAAACTTTACTTTCAGCTAATTTCAATGCATTTTATTTGGCGAGAAAAAAAGAGCGAATTGATAAATCTAAGACAAATTAATTAATTTAAAATCAAAATTGAGGAAATTTAAAATTTGGAAAATTTAAGAAAAATAAAGATGAAATCAAAAAATTAATCAACATAATATAACGAAATCAACTGTATTCCTCATTTCTTCTTTGCAAAATTCTGAAAGCATTTCGCGTAAAAAAGTTAAAAATAATATAAATGGAAAATAACGCTTGTTGATATGAAAAAAGTATAAAAAGTATATTATTAAAAAAAAGAAATTAGAAAAGTAATGAAAAATAAATCAGATAAAATTAATTACGCCTTCAATATCTAAAAGAAAATAAAAAATCCTAAAAAAAAATCATCCATTTGAAAAGATCAATGAATTATTCAATGGATAATGCATGAACGAATGAACTGATCTGTGGATGCGGCGCTAAAATCCGTTAACGCAAAAGCTAACTATATGAACGAAAAAAACTATACGTCGGTACAAGTAAATGGTACATTAAATAAATCAAACATATGAAACCAATATTCAAGGACAATAATCAAGGTCAAACGAAGGTCAACAATTTTACAATAAGAGAGGAAAAGGAAAGTTCCATTCCAATTTTTTCCAACAATATCAAAACAAATAAACGATGAAAAAAGAATCTAAAATATTTTATAAATTTTTAAAACATTTATATGCAAAATTGATTTAATCAATTAAATCATTTGTACAAAAAATTTTTTTACTTCAATATGCTTTCATAAAATTAAATTAAAACTGAAATCAATAATAATACTAAAAACAGTTTTATACAAATAATAAAATGAGCAAAAAAAAACTTAAAACGATTTTGAAGTGATTTTCTTTAAAATCACTAATAGTATGAATTATTATTAATTTTCTAATTGCCTTTTGACAAAATTAAACCAAATTAATAACTCGTTCAAAAAAAAGAATCGAAATGATAAAAAATAAGGAATTCTTACACGAATAAATCCATCGATTATCTTTCCATTCAACCTTTGAATAAAGAAAGGGCGAATGCAATGGAAGGAGAAAAGAACTGCTCAATTTTGTGGAAAAAATACCAAAATATGCAAAAAATATCAAAATAGGCAAAAAAAGCCCTATTTCAGAAAATGTTTAGCAAATAAGAGAAAAAAAAGAACGTTGCAACATAAACCGACGAAGAAAAAAATTTAAATATTTGAATACGATCCCTTTCTTTATTTGTCATTATCATCATCGTCGGACACTATCAGATAAATATTACTTTCATCATGCTTATCACGCATTTTTGACGGATCTAAAAACGATTTTTAAAGAATTTATCGTCTAATGCAATAAAATTATAAAATACAGCCAAAACCTTTTAGAATGTTTTATTTAATATTTTCAAGAACGCCCTGATCTGTTCATCGGAATTTTCAGCGATGCTCCAAACCTATTGCGAAAAAACTAAAAATTTTATTGTAAAATCAAAAAATAACGAAAATTTTTCAAATAATCTATCTATATATACATTTTATATCATTTCTATATTTGCACTTCCCCACAATTTTTGCTCTAACAATTAAATTACTTATGTGTGCTTCAATCGATTATCGATATAAATAAATTTAAAATAACCATTTTCACTAGGTAATACGGCAATGGATTCGTTTAATTGTCGTTTACGACTAGATTGTTGTGATCGACTACTGTATCGTTCCTGTGACAAAGCCGTTCTGTTGTGACCGCGAAATTTATTTGTTAAAGTGCTAGCACCTTTATTTTTTGAAGCAGTGTTTCTGTCTGAACTAATGATTGCATGCCTCTTTGGTGATCTTGAGCTAGATCGCTCCATTCTGGCTGGCATATTCAGAACTGCAGCATTTGATAGCATACTACGGCTGTCAGAGCGATTATAAGTATTTCTTTCTGGTGCAAGTTCCACTGATGAATGCCCCGTAGTCGTAGACATTTGAGGATTCTGTGAAATGTTTGGATGTATAAACCTAGGAAAAGGGGGAGGTGGACATGAAAGATTTGGAGGTAGATGACTCATGCTTGTGGATCCTATGTTCAGATTTAAAGAAGGTGGCACACCACTAGAAAATGTATTCAAATTCACCGTATGTCCGCTTGATAAAATTGAAGTTGTAGCTGATGGCGACAACCCTCGGTTTGACTGACCATGTATAGGTTTAGTATTTGGCGGAGGAGAGGAAAAACAAGGTAGTATAGGTTGACCAGATCTAGGAGGCGGTACATTGAACAATGGTGGAGGTACAGAAAGATTAATGGAAGTTATGTTTGGTGCAACTGCAGCTAACCGATTATCCGATGTGATTTCACTAGTGTTCATCTTTAGCAATGAAAAATTCGGCTGTTGATTGATGGAAATGTTACTGGCTGGAACAGCTGAAGATGTTGAATTTGAGCATGGAGGAGGAGCAGAAAAGACTGGTAATGTATTAACCAGTGATGAATTTGATGATAGAGAAGATACTGCTAAATTAATAACTTTCGAAGACTGGTTATCACCGGATTTAAAATGAGAGTTTCCTGCATTATAACTCTGAGCGTCACTAGCTGAAAGTGATGGTGGTCTCTCCAATGGAAGTACAGAACGAATTGGCATTAGTATGCCTGTAGGCTGTGCAGTACTACTTGCGGTTGATTTAATAAAATTTGGTGGTGGTACATTAATAAACGGTACCGATGATATCGGTTCTATCAATGGCCTTGTTCCTGTTGCTCTAAAACAGATGCTTTCTAAATTTTATAAAAAACATTTTTTATTAATTATTAATTATTTTATTATTTTATTCGAAAACACCAAAGGCTAGCAATGATCTAATTTGTAGAAAATAAATTATAAAAACATTTTTTAAAAAATAATATGGCTAATAAAAATTTATTTCATAAATTAAATACAGTAATGACTATCGACAACCTGTTCACCAAAGATGGCGGAGGATAAGAAATAGGCAATGATGAGGAAGCAATTGATTTTGATATGAAATTATCCCTAGCCCGAGCTTGGCCAGATGTGATATTTGTATTTGCGTTTTGTTTCTCCAATAATACACTTTGAGCATCATCAATTATTTCATCAATCCGCTTTAAATGATCTGAAGGCAATGTATAAAGTACCGCTATAGAAACTTATAATATACTTATAATTTATTACAAAATGAAATAAACCTGGCTGAAGAGAATCTATAACATTGCCAAGTGCTGTATGAGTTTGAATACCACCAATGTTCGACGTTAAACTTATCTTATTAGGATCATTTAACTGCTGTATTGAAGGATTAATTGTTTCCTGGGCTGGCAATGTTGAAAATGAACCAGTAGTTAAAAATGACGGCGCATTTTCAACCTGAGTGAATAATGGTTTTGTGTCCATTCCAAAACGTGGTGGCGGACCACTCATTCCACATTGAGTACCGCTTACTGGTGGACAAGCTGGGCGCGTTTGAGCTAAACCTATAGGTGGATTGTTCAACGGCTGTATGGCTCCAGGTGGTCTCTGAATAAATCCGGCTGGAAAGACAGATCCACTGATTATGGGGGGTGGAACATTAAATCTAAATCTCGTTTCAACAGCAGGATTAATACGAGGATTTGCTGCTATAGATACGTTAAATCCAGCTGTATGTTGTTTCTCATCAACACATTTACCAAAGTTTTCCGTAATTTGAGAAGTCATATCTGAAAGATATAATATAATTGAAGATACAGATACATAAAAAGACCAGAGAGATATTATTTTAGAGCAAAAAATTTCCTTTTGTAATAGAACCACCGATGAATTTTTTTCTTATATATATAGCGTGAAATATCTTATACTTACAGGTTTTTTCATCTTTCTTTTTTTTTTCTTCAATTATCAGCAAAGCCATCCATATTTGCTCACTAAATAATAAAAATTTACCCATCTCACACCTCTTGTAATTTTGCAACCACTGACATTTGCATCACTATTTCTATACAAACAAGATTAACTAAAAGCGATAAAATATTGAAAGCATTCCAATATCAAGAACCACTATAATGCCAGTTATCTGAATATAAACGAACACTACAGAACCCACAGCTATCACCATTTCATTTCAAATAAGAATAAAACTGAAACAAAAAACTCTTTTAATGAAAAAAAAAGTGCAGAAATCACTTTTCGAATCAACATCAGATAATGGCAAATGAATATCCGATTTTAAATTTCGTGGAAGGTGATTCATGAGTCGTTCCACTTCTTTTCGAATAGTTTTATACATTTCTTTCAATTCACTAAGAAAGTTAAAATTTAGAATGCTTATTTAAAATATAATTTCAAACGAGAATAGTCTTACTAAACTTTCTCATTTAATCAAAGTTAAAGATGTACTCAGAGTACTTTTTTAATAGTCAACTAACTCTATTTGTGTTTTCCGCCCACAGAGAAGACGATTTTGTTCACGATCAAGGTGAATCATTCGTGCCAAATGTGATCGAAGTTCAAGATCATTCATATTAATAATCTAAAAAGATCTTAATTAAATACAATTGAACAATGATTTGAAAGAAAAAGTTTCTTCTTTAAATATCATATTTTTGAAATTGAATTTGAATTATGTAGATTATTTGAAATTCTTCTAAATTCGACATTTACCAACAAATATAATTAGAAGAAAATTAAATCCATATTTTCATGGACTCAGCTTATACAATAAATCGTTTTAAGAAGATAGGAATAAAAATAAATCGACCATAATTTATTTTTATTTTATTTTATTTTTCATTTTAATTCCATTTTTAGACGCAAAAAATCTTACATAACAACTTAAACCTACTTCTGAATTAGAAACGTTAATGAGGCGCTCAACCCGCTGCCGAAGAGTTGTCGGTTGATCGACAACTTTCGAAAGCTCAATTTGTCGAGGTAATGTTGGCGGTGAAAAAGCCAAACGTGGAGGTCGACGATCTGTATTTTTTGAGCCATAACGTTCCTAAATTTTTTTAAAATTAATGCCCAATATGACAGCAGGTTATAAAGATTGAAATTGCGAGAAAAAACAACCTCATCGCTTTTTTCCTCTAAACGCCTTTTCTTTAACCTTCGTTCATCATCGCCCTCACGTCGTGGAGAAAGAGCACGACTAGAAGATATAAAATACTCTCAGGTAATAAAGTCGCTATATATTTTATGCAAAACTCAAAAATTTACCAATTTTTCTCAAATGAAACCAATCAGTCATAAACTAACCCTGGACGATCCTTCCTTTCACGATTGCTTCGTTCAGACGTACTAAAAATTATAGTTACTAGTTTATAAAGCAGATAATTAAAAATGATTAAACGGAGATTTTTCTTAGAGTATCAATTCTCAAACTGCTGAAAGCAGGTGCAGCCTTGGGACCAAAGGTGATTCCTTAGAATCTTTTAAAAGGCCCTCGAAACCATTTTATAAACTGTTTGCTCTTTGGATCATTTTTAAGTAAGCTCAAGGTTAATCTAAGCACTGGCAAACATTGTGAACTTTAAGGATTTTAAATGCGAAGAGAAATTTCAACTTAAGAAATGATTAACCTTTAAAATTCAAATTCATAAAGACCTTATATTAAAAAAAAAAACTTCTTTATGGATAAATAAATAATTAAAAGTAAAACCTAGATAAACAAAAGCATTTTGATTTTGAAAAAGCAGTTTTTCTGTTTTCAAAAATGGAAGAAAGGAATGAATGAAAAATAGAAACCATGCTGACCTTTCTAACGAAATCGTTGGTTTCAGATTAAATTTCAGATTTTTCAGTCGTTCTAGAGCATTTTTCTTCGATATATTTGAATCTTCATTATTTTTATTTGATGATGAAATCTGTTTTTTGCGTAGACTATTCCTTAACTGTTCACCTGCTTTATTATCGTCGGCCATCTTAAATTAAAATTATTGATACATTTATTCCTAATTTAACTGAAAGCTTAGCTTAACTTTTTTTTCACTTTTTGCCTAAGATGAAGCTAATTTAATTTACAACATATTTAATCCAAATTAGGAAGTTAGTAATCAAAATTTTCTGAATTTTCATAAAACTGCTGATGAAAACAACAGCAACCAGTAAACTCTGTTAAATTAAACAGCAACCACGCCATTCTAATCATAATTTGCACAAAATAAAATAATGAAAATTTAACTTTCTCTAATAAACTCTAATTTAATAAACAATAAACAATAAAAATACAAATAATAATTAAAACAAACGTACACCCGAATTAGATTCATCACTAACTTCGCCATCTTCCTGCTCCGAATTGCTTGGCTGAAATATTCGTAAATATACGAGTATCCATTTTTCACTCTGTTTAACTTTTTTATAGAAACGCCAACGACAACTATTAACAATAAAAATGAAGGTAGATAAATAGAAATGAATGAAATATAAATTACATAAAAAAATATAATGCAATCAAAGAAATATAAAGTAAAGATACCAATCAACTCACTGAAAATGTAAAAAAAATGGTAAATAAAGTGAATAATACCAGCAAAAAAATGAATCTGTGCAGAATCTTAGAAAAAATAGAAATATAGAACCACAGTTCAAAAATAATACATATAATTGCATCCGAATGATATTTTCTGATTTTAGAAATTTTCTGATGCCGCAAGGAAAAATCATTCAATTAATCAATGTTATCGCCTAGCTTGCATGATAAAAAAAATAAAACAAAAACCTTTGAAACTGATGGCAACTGAGCATGCTCGAGAAAGGATCCATTCATTTTCATAACCTTAATTTAAATTTTGTGTATTTAGCAAAAAAAAACTTTCAAAATAGAAAATAATAATCATCAGGATTTGTGCTAAACAAACATTAAAATATTGCAAAACGCAGCAAAAATGAAATAAAAATTTTTTGAAGACTTTAGGCGCATTAAAATTTAAGCCTTTAAGCCTTAAAAGCTTAATGAAAAATTAACCATTTCGACCTCATAAAAAACTATTAAGTTACTAAAATTACTAAAACTGTTAAGTTACATTAAGTTATTACTGTTAAGTTATTAAATATAAACAAACGTTAAATATAAAATATAAACAAATATAAATAAACGGAAATATACTTTGAAATATTTTAATTTGTGATTGATTACATGAATAATTATATGTATAAATTTAACTTAACAGTTTATCATTTATATTTTACAACTCAAAATTGAAAAATTGAATTGAACTGATAAAGCTATAATAATAAAAGAAATGCGTATAACATAAGTGGAAATGTATGTTATTGTCAAATGCATGTTAAAATCAACTTTAAAATCAACTTTAATGTTAAACTTCTTAACATTGGCCTTGATCTCACCAAAATCCAGCCTAAATAATCAGTTAACATTCATCTTCCCTTTTACTTCCAAATTTCAAGTCAAATTTCGTCTACACGATATTAAATTAATTTTACCATTCGATATAGCAAGGAATATAAAAGTGTTTGTTTCCTGCTTATTCGCTTATCATTATCATTAGCCGATAAGAACTTATAAATTAAAAGCTTTTATTTACGAGATGGAGAAATGTTTTTCCAACCTCATCGCAATACTATTTCCACAAAAAATACGCGTCAAATTCTCTAATATTTCACCTTCACATGTACGTGCTACAATATTATTTCATCACCAGTAATTCAAACTGGTATCAAATAAGACGAAAATCAAATAATTAATGTGAAGGGCAGGGAAAAGTCAATATAATAAAAGCATCAATAAAAATTTATAAGAAATAAAGATTCTATAAAGAATTAATAAAAAATGAAATTTAACCATTTAAGGCATACGAACAAATAAAAGTTAAAGCGATTGGTTAAAGAGCTTTTGTTAGAATTCCAAGGAAATCCAATTTAATTTCTCGAAATTTTCTCGCGAATTCCTAAAATTAATTTATAAAAATACGTCGCTCTGAGAATTTAACTGAACCAAATTTATAGCGAATTTTACTCAACAACAAAACGCTAAAATGGAAAATGGAAGAAGATTTTTGAGAAATTTCGACATTAAACTGCTTCTCAGATTATTTGAAAAAATTTATAAAACTTTTATAAAAATTTACTTTCAATGATTAATTTACTTTTACTTTTCTAACAAATTTACTTTCAATGATTTTAAGAAATTTAAATTTTTTCTCAGAGTGTAAAAAAACAAGGAAAATGCAGGAAAATTTAATAAAATAAATATTTTATTCATTTTCTCGGTAAATGAAGCAAATAAAAAAATAATAAAAACGCACTGAAAGCGATAAATTAAAAAATTTGATAAAAAATTGAAATCAGAAGGAAATAAAAGAAAAATATTCGTTTATAATAAAAATAATACTTGCAACAGTGGGAAATAAATTTCCTATTAAGTAAAAAGCAACTTTTAGCAAAGATTTGTAGAAAAATAATTCACCCACTAAACTCGCAGCGACGAAAACAATACGCAAAAAATTATTAACTGCGTAGATTAAATCGACTCAACACGAAAATTGGATGATACTCAGCAAATTTGAACAGCCGACGGCCGCCGTTATCCACCTCAACCGATTTTTAAAAAACTATGAATTCGACCGAAGTTCTACCCACCAAAATTTTTTCCACATGCAGTGATTGTCTTGTCCGATGTCAGTTGAGTGGTTCGTCAGACCCAACGGAAAATCGTCGAGTTCCCCCCTCTCTTTTCGCTTTGTTGGTGATGTCCCGGCACTTATGTGTTGACAAAAAGGCTTCATCTCTGTGAACGACAGCCAAAAATCTCGATATATCCGTTTTCCAGATATACTGTTTTCTTCATTCCATTGCTGCATAATTCATTTGAAATCACTACTGATTGCTACGAAAGATCGCTTTAAAAATCTGACCTTTAAAATCCGAGCAAATATGATCGATTATTGCGAAGGGTCAAATTATTTTTACTTTGAAGGTCAAATATATTGTAAAGGCAGTATGTCGGTTCGATATCGATCAGTTTTTCGTATTGACGAAATTGACATTGCTCGGACAAAATAATTGTCTGCCTGGAACGTCGACATTCTTGGGCGGTCTAAGGCAATGAATGTTTGGCAGTTGGAAAAGTAATTCCATTTAACCACCGGCAACTGAATTTTCTCAGTATTTTAGTTCCTTTTTAACTGGAAAGTGGCACTAAAAATTTTTTGGGAATTTTTATGTTTCAAGAAAGCGGAAATTAATTGAAAGCGACGAATCGTAGGATCGTTAAGTTAATGATCTTCACTGCAAAACATGTTCTTGTTCGAATAGGACTACTGGTTAGACTCGCTCCGCTGGCTTGCACTGGACGAATATGCCAGGAAGTTCCTCGGCGATAGAAGCACAGCTGAGCCGCCAGCATCGCACTACAGGACTTTTGGACAGGCTTGCCTCTGCCAGGAGCAGAATTTCGGCATCGCCATTCCGAATCAAGCCGGTGCCCACTCAGCCATTCCATCCATCTTCTCAGATTTAGATCGTTTCGTTGTACCATGCATTAGCCACTTGGAGACGGAAGCACAAGCGGTTTCTTATTACTCAGCAGCAGGTTTATTTTCATCCATCGATAGAAATCAGAGTGCTCGATTTCAGTCGAATCAGTGGGAATATTCGTCCATCGTGATGGTTTCTATCAAAAAATATCGAGACGGACGGTCGAAAAGTCTTTAATCTTTCAAATTTACCAAAAAATCAGAAAATTAAAATGTTTTTTAACATAGCATCTATTTTTTTCAATAAATTTTCCATTTCTCATTCATTTCTTCAAACTGAAATATTTTGGAAGACTGACGATCAACGCTTATAATAATGACTGCATTAGTTTTTATATAAAATTTAATTTCAATGGATATCTACTAAAGGTCAGAGGTCGGAGGGACCGTTAAAGGTTAAAAGGAGGTCGAAGCTTCGAAGACCAGAAAAAAATTTCTTAATAATCGATTATCGATTGCTTTATCTGATAACAGTTGTGCTGTCCATTAATTTTTGCTTTTTTTTGCTTCTCTTAAATGAACTCGCCGGGCATTTTTTATGAAACTTCAAATAAAGCGATGAGAACAAAATAGTGTTAGTGCAGTTTTATAAGCGTTTTTATTACTATAGTAGAATTAAAGATTGAAAAGTCTTCAATCGTTTTAAATTAAATAAGAATTTTGAATAAGAATTAAAGTTGTTTCGTTTATTATTCATTGCGCATTTTTCCCATTTCTTTCAATATATCGGCGCTTTTTTTTAGTTTAAGTCGACCGTTGCTTGTAATGAGTTTGGTTCAGTTGGCCAATTTTTTCATAATTAATGGGCCAAGTGGGATTTAGACGGTTTAGAAAAATTTCTACATTCCTTCCACTATTTTCGCGATTTAATAAATCTAAACTTAGGTTCTCAACCTATTTTGACTAATCGCCCTCATTTCTAGTTTTTCTTCATCGCCATCCCCCCCCCCCCCGCGTAAAGTGCTTAAGCTATTAGAAATTCCGGATCCAGTAACAATGAAATGGCAACCAAACTCATTACAACCGATTTTTTATTTTTACCAAAAAACATCTATTAAGCTTTAAGAATAAAGAATAAAAGAGAAAAGAGCAAAAACAAAATGCATAAATCGAAACTATAAAGAATCGAAAGCAAAATGAAAGCAGTCACCCAAAGAATGAAAATGAAAATTAATGAGAAACATAATGACAATGGAATGAAACATTTCTGGATTTGGCTCATTTTTTGTCAACTTTCATCAGCCATAAGTCTTCTTAAGTCTTTCCTTCTTCTTCGTTTTCCAACTGAATGAATTGAATTCACCTTCCGATGAGCGAAGTGGAAGAAAAGAATTTTTTGCCGCAAGTCCTTACCTTAATGCACATCTGACGTCAAAATCAACCCAGTTAGCTGCTGTCGTGAAAAGTTTTTAATTCAGAAAGAAGAAATAAACTAAAAAGCTTTGATCGCATTCCTTCTTGTTGTTAATAAGAAATGTTTTTCAAAGGAAAGAGATTTAGATAATTTTTAGTTTTTTATAATTTAATTTCGTATTTCGTATAATTTCCTTACAAATTAACAATATTCACAAAGGAAATTTGCATTCAGAAATATCGGATGAAGCTTATTTACGATTTTAAGCTCGGGAAAAATGCTTATCCAGTTTTTCCGACAGCTTATAACTCGGAGTCGCTTTTTCTGCTGCGTTAAGGCGAACGTATAGAGCAGTGGCCGAAAAGAACAAATGAAATTTCGAACCCCGGTAGCACATAAGTCATATAGTACCCTTTCCGATGGACACTGCGATTATTTCATGACAAAATGATGCCGAGATTTCTTAAAAATCAAGAAAAAACCTTTCGCGAACAGTGATAAAATCAACCAAAACGAAAAGATTCGAAAAAGTGCTGAAGTGCAAGTGACTACTTTATTTTTTAAATAAACGGCCAACATTTACGGTTTTAGATTTTTTTAGAACATTCTAAACATTTCCTATTCAATATGGAAGAAGGAGGAATTCCCTATGTGCAGCAAGCGAAAGGTAATCTTTGTCCATCCAAACCAGGCCAACGGCCGACTAGCGCGGATATTTCTCCCCTCACTCTTCGCCACCACTGTCTTCCTAATCCACGAGATGAAATAAATCGTCTGTGAAATTTTAGTCTCTGAATTCTGCCGCAACTTGTCAGCATTCACAAAATTCTGAAAGTTCGTCTGGAAGGATTCATGAGGAAATCTGGTCGGCTTTCTTCCACGTGAACTTCACCGAAGATCGATAATCGCCAAATCTTA